CCTGTAAGATGTGGTAGAGGCACTACCTCAATGTATCTAAACATAGGATATGCTTATAACTTGTAAGTGGGGCAAAGATGATAAGAATGTTCTGAGGACTCAGCTGTACCAATTCTTCTCTCTACATAGATGATTCCAGGATAAATCCAGTATTTCCTTGGCTGTAGGCTGGATTAATTAACAATGGGGTGTTCTTAAATTTCTTATATAATCATGACAATATTTATCCAAAAAGTCCATGAAGCCCTACTTTGAAACTGGCTGATATGATCATCGTTGTTTTTCTGTTAAAAGGATAAGGAGCTAAATGTAATTGTGTAGTAAAATAAAGACATTTGAAGATCAGTGTTTATTTAAAGGGGTTCAAAAACGAACTGCTGAGGCCTACTTAACATCACTGGACTCTATCCACTTCTGCCTAAACTCATAAACTTGCCTTGCAGCCTTCAGAGGCTGCTGGAGAGAGTCACTTCCTACACACTATGGGGTTGATTTCTTTACTACACAGTAGAGTAACATAATCACATCATTTGCACAAATTTGAGAAAGCACCTTTGAACCAGGATTAATGAGATTTTCAAACAGACTTTTCCCTGTTATTCTCCTAATTACATTTTTAAAACTCAACCTTTTTTTGTCATAACTCCCTTCAGTCTATTTTTCTCCTTTTTTTCTTTTTTTTTCTCTTTTTATTTTTGTTCAGCAATTAAGTGTCCTAATAAATGAAGAACAATATCCTTCATTGGATGGTATTATGTAGAGAAAAACATTATGTTTGAAGTACCTTATGCAGCCCTTACAAGTTGCTTCCTGCAGTTTGGCAATACCCAGAAAACTCAAGCCCTGCTCCAGCTCTGCCTACTCATTTAACTTCAAATGAGATGCTATAAAATGCACAGAGGCTGTTAGTGTATAATGTTAAATGTCTGTGGTACTGTCCTTGATGCTAATAACAAAGTATGAGGATTACACTAGCAGTGACAGGGACAGTAACACTTTCACTCCCAATACCTTTTGGAAAGGACAAGTCATCACGTCTCTAAGTAGAAAAAAAAAAAACGGTGGGGGGAGTGCTCACTCCCACACTTTACATTGCCATGACTACTGAAGAGCCATTTTCCTATCCCCCTGCTCCATACCAACCAAAAATAGGTGTTGTGTAGAGTATATAAAGAATTAAATGGATATCCAATTTAAAAATCAAAGGCAATTCCCTATGTTTCATAAGTATGCGTTGTTATAAGCTGTACCAATTGATTTGACTAGAGAGCCATCATCTGGAAATGAGTTTCTGACCACCATTTGGCTTTGCTTTGTTTTTACCCATATACCTAAACCATGAAAAAAATCATCCCATTTTTTAGAAACAGTCCACTGACTTCAAGACTGTCCTTTGACATGTAGGCAAATCCAGCCTGTTTCTTTCCAGTCCCAGCCTTCTTATAATATGCTTTTTTGTTTGTTTTGAACCAGTCAACAGCAAACAGAAAGAATATAATTGCAAAACATCTGATATGCCTGTTGATGATGTCTCATTAACCTTGACAGTGAATGTAACTGGTGACTGCCTGTCACAGTGGCATGGTGGTTTGTTAAAGAGGGAGAAAAAAGTCAATGGAAACACCTCGGTGGGGGCAATCCAAGGAGAAACATAACTTAGTAGAACATCTATAAAAGAATGAAGTATTTCCGACTGGCCAAACTTGCTACATTCTAGTTTCCTTAAGCCTGTGATAGTTTTACTACACACTTTCTTGAAAAAACATTCCTAACTATATTTTTCTGTATCACAATATATGCTCTGAAGTATTGAAAAAAAAAAAAAGAAAGCCTACTTTAATGCTGAAAAACAACCTCAGAGAAAAACAAACATCTCAGGACTAATGTTAATAAGGTTCTGCAATAACTGAATATGTGCAATGGTTTGTGTGCCATTAGAAATACCACAGGCCACTCGATGTGAGAATGTTCTAATTCCAGTCAGTCCCCAGCCAGATCCCCCTCTTTACTAATTGCTGGTGAATAGCGTGTCAACAAACAGAGAGTGAAATTATAGAGGAAAATGAGCTTGTCTCTAGGGACACATGGTTACCTGGAGAGGAAAGACAGAGTAAAGAGTTCCCCAGGCTTGCTAGCAGACTCCCTTTGGCAGAAGGAGGAATCTAACCTTCCACTATTCCCAGAGACCCCACAGGAAACCAGCAGTTTCCATCATCTCTCTGGCGTCTCAGCTGGGACTGGTTCCTGTCTGCCCTCCAGAGAGCAGAAGCTGAAGTAAACAAACCTCATAGTCTCCACCTAGATTCAGATGAAACATTCTCACTTTTATTTTCTTTTTCTTTTTTTTTTCTTTTTTGCTCTCATGGTCTCTCCACTTTTCCCTTTCTAGTATTCACTCCTCAGCTTTCCTTAGGAACTTCTTGAAAGTTATCACCATTAATCTCACCTTTCACATCAAATTCCCACCTCCGGGCTGATGGCACAACCAGTTTCTGTTCTGTGTTCCTGTGATGTTCTCAGGGCCACATGCCGGCTCCTGATTTCTGGCCTCTGGATCTGCCCCTCACCCACGCGTTCAAATAAACCCAAATAAAAGTATATCAACCTGTTCTCTCTTTTCCCAAAGAAGTTGTATTTAAGTGGATTGAAAGTACTATGAAAGATGAAATAACTGAATTGCCAGCACCATTTCCCACTCTCAAATACATAAATGGCTACCTTGCTCCGGGAGGAGCGGGCTGGTGGCTGCCCCGGTCCTCACCAGAGACTGCACTTTTGGTTGGTTGAGGATGGGTGTTATTTTTCTTAGCATGCCAACTCACATTCCTCTGTCCCTTACATACAGCCCACACCAACCTTTCCCAAAACACTTTGGGTGGGTGGGCTAGAGGAAGGGAGGTGAAAATGGGGATAGGGGAACGGTGTCTCTGAACCTCACCTCCCTCCTCCTGCATAGTATTTTGTTCTCAAGCAGCGGGACTTTCTTGAATGTATTCTCTTGTTCCGCTTCTTCTTGGCCCAGTTATCCCAGAGCCTCCCTGCCCCCAAGCCCACTGCGACCAAAACAAGCGCACTGACTAAAGCACTGTGGCCGCCGCCGCCCCAACTGTTGCAGCAGCTGCGGGGTGACAGCAGAGGCAGTAAGGGCAGGGCCGGGCCGGGACCCGGACCCGGACACTCCCTACCTTGGAGCCTGAGAGACTCGGGGCTGCTGCCCAGGGGCGCGCAGTGCAGGGGAGCCACCGCCTGGGATAGGAGAGGCGGCTTTCTCAGCCGGGACCCCGCGCGGAGCCTGCCCGGTCTCCGCAGCCGCGCCGCCAGGGGCTGCCCGCACCCGCCCCACTCTCACCTTTAAGATCAGGTCCGTGTGATGCTGGTCCAGCATGTTGGCTTTCTGGAAGGAGGTGACGATGACCCGGCCGTAGCGCCCAGGGGTCTGCAGGTCCGAGTAGAGCCGGTGCTTGGAGCGGTTGACCGGGAAGAGGCTGTTGACTAGGTTGCGCTCGATCTTGGCTAGGCTGTGCTGGGGCGCCAGCAGGTGCTCCACGCTCTCTTCGACCTGGTAGCGGCTGAAGCTGGCGCCGAGCAGGATGGAGATGAGCACCGGCGCCGAAGCGAAGAAGACCGGGTGACTGGCAATGAAGTGGCCAAGCCGGGAGAAACACGTCCTCAAGCCCCTGTGCAGAACCTGCCGCAGCATCCTAGAGCAGAGCGGGCGCGGGAGGAGGGCGAGGCGCACGCTCGGCGCGGGCTCGGGCGACGGCGG